AATATTCAACTTCAGTTTGATAAAGCATGTAACACTGATATCATAGTAAAACACTGTAGAGATTCTTAAGAATAGATTTGTGGGTAGAAAATAGAAAATGTGGCTTTCCTTTCTAGGTGAAGTTACTCCACTCAAATGGTACAGCATGAGTAAGAGCTGTTTTATAATGTTAGACCTCCTCTTAGGACTTCATCTTAGGACTTTGTATAATGCAAGTACTCTAGCAGAGAAGTTTTGTTTTTGTTTTTTATTTTAATCTTAAAAATAAGCTTCTACACATATCATCTGTAGAACATATTTGGAAGAAAAGCAGTATCTAAAGAGACACAATGTAAAATTACCAAAAATATTGTATTATGAAAAGGCAATTCTAATTTTCAGTGAAAGCAAACAGTTCTGAAATCTTTTTTTGAAATACTTTCCTAATCGGTTTCCAGCCTACTCTCCTTTTGCCCTCACATAGTCACCAGACCTATCTTTCTAAAACACAGAATTGATATGTCTTTTCCCAACTGAAAACCACTAATGCTTCCTCACTATCTGCAGAATAAGGTTCAACCTTCCTAAGATGCTTTGTAAGGCCCCCCGCTGAGTGGGCCCCTGCCCACAGGTATCCTGTTGGTCAGTCAGCCATTTGCTCCCCAAATGTTCACTGAGAAGTTCTTACCATATATGTGCCAACAAAACAAAGCAAGATGAAACCAAAGCTTCTCTCCTGTGGTCCCCCTCTCAGGAAGTGGATACCCAGCCAGAAATCTGGAAATTAATCTGGATTTCCCTTTTGTCTTTCCTCTTTTCCATCCCCTGACAGTCCTACTTTTTAAATATCTCTTGAACCCACCCACTTCTCCCACTGTCTGCATCCCGCACCCCAGCCATCCCTTTGAGTCCATTCTCTGCGTTTCAGCCAGAGTCATCTTCTAATCTGCCATCTGATCCTGTCGTTTCCCTGTTTGATCTCTTTATGGCCCTCTTTGGATAGTCTGAACTCTTCAACTTGGCTTCCAAAGCCATCATTTATTCAGTGCCTACATGTGCCAGGTTCTGTTGTAGACACTGAGAACTGAGCAGTGATCAAGACTACCAAAGGCTCCTGACCTCAAAATCTTACATTTTTTTTGGGGTGGTGTGGTATAAGAGCCGAAATAATAACCAAGAAAACAAGTAAAGGTAATCAGAGATTATGATAAGGGCCTTGAAAGGAGTAGCCAGCCACTGGATATGTGTATTTGCAAGCGCGTGTGCGCACACATTCACTTTAAATTGAGAGTTCGTGGAAGGCCTTTCAGATGAACGTGATGGCATTAGCCTTCTGAGCGTTTGCCCCGACCTGTCACACCTCTGCAGCTTTCACCTTGCTTCCCCTCCTCACACTGTGCTCAGCCAGACTGGCCCTTTGGTTCCTCGCAGTCACCTCTTTCTTTCTCTCTTCTCCCCTCTTTTTTCTCTCCTTTTCCTCTCCCCTATCCCTCACCAACTCTTCCTAGAAACCATTATCTTACTTGAAACACCCTCACTGCACCCCCCCTTGACTAGGTCTACCAGTTACTATTTAATATTTCCCAGTTAATACTCAAGCAACTGTAATTGCTTGGTTAGTGGTCTACCTCATTCACCGTTGAATCCCCAGAACAAAACACTTGGTGTATTTGTGGACAGAATGAGTGTACATAGGATGGGACACTTAGATCTGCAGGGAGAGACACTTTATAGTTACATCGTTCCTTCTCTCATACCCTCGCCAGGCCCCAAACAAGCTTCTGTTGAACCAACTCTGTAATATCACTTGGATGCCCTCTTCTTTCCGAGCACCTTTCTCCTCTGATAGATTGCAAGCCCCTTTGTCTTATTAATTCCCTACCTCCAACTCCTGATTATACTTGGCACACAGTAGGTGCTCAATGTGTAGTAAACCAAAAAAAACTCAAAATAAACACAAAACCAAAATCAAACAAAAACTCAGAAAGATGTAGTTTGGAGGAAGGAAATGGGAACCAATTCTAAGGTAGATAAAATAAATAAAATAATCACTCTCCTGGGAGAAATTACTGAGAAATATAAATGCTTCCCTTACATGAAAAGTATTTTACCTACCTTACTGGCAAACTATGGCTTCCATTCAACCATTTCACCTTTTATGTTAGCACACAAAACCAGGAAGTTTCTCTGATCTTTGTTCAACTTGCTTTGCTACACACATATAGTACTGAAATCCACCTTTTCCTTTGCTGCAGGTGGAGATCTTTCTTTTTCTGGGAACAAGTTTTCCTTCTGCTTCTATTTGCTTTTTATTGTTATTTTGAGGCACTTACTAAGGGCCACAAAAGTGGGGGTCAATTTGGAGGTATGTGAGGACAGAACTGGCTTCAGGCTGTCAAACCAGAAGTTTTAAACCTGCTTCCTTGTTTTTCCCTTGAGGCGATGGAAATTTCTAGCCACCAGCTGGGACTGGAATTGATTTAGTGCCAGAGAGGTGAAACATGGGAAAATATAAGGATATTGTTTATTAACATTACTTAGTCATTCTCAGCAGTAGGTTTTATGATTTAGAAAACATTTCCTGGTTTTGAAAACTTAACAATACAGCCTCGAAGTCTGTCAGAAATTGGAGTGAGGGGAATTCAGTAATGGGAAGGCCAGGAGGATAAACCAGGATAACTAGTGGGTTTTTAATTGTGTGTTTCGACTCTGTGACGTTATCTCTACATTCTAGTTTTATTGAGTTTAATTATTAACTGCTGTTTTTAACTAGAGAAAAGGGAGCTTCTGCATATCTGAAAAAGCCTATAGAGATCCTATTCATTCTCTGTGTCAACTCCGTTTCTTGGTAAAAGCACTGGACTGGTGGTTGGGAATGCTTGGTTTTTGTCTTACTCTGTTTCTAACTGTTGATTCTATGTAAGTCCCTAAGCGTCTCTAGGCCTGAGCTTACTCAACTAGTAATGAAGGTCTACTAGGTTAGTTCAGTTTGGTTCAGTAAATGCTTGCTTGCTGCCTACCTATCTTAGCTTGAGCTCCCGAGAGAGAGGCTTAGGCAGGGATTCTAGTGCAAATGAGTTACTGAGTGATCACCACCAGCAGGAACTGTGAGGAAGTCATGGAAGCAGGATAGGGCAGGAGAAGAAGCCAAGCAAAGATGTGGTTTCAGCTGATCTAATCTCAGCCTGAGCCCAGAGAGGCTCTGCAATATGAATGGCAACACAGAATTCTACATGTTTTAGACATCTCTTTCAATCCAGTTAATGCCTATAGGTGGCCCTCCAGGGCAGGGGGTGTAACGTCACTGGAATTTCTGGATAATGTGGTTAATCAGCTGGAGGATGAGTGCACCAGCCTATCAAAGGGGATCTAAATGGGGCACCAACAGAATCTGTTACACTACCTGTGTGCCAGGCACTCTGATAAGTATTGAGAGACAAAGATAGAAAAGATATGGTCCCTCATCATAGGAAACTCATGGAATAGTGCAGAAGATAGAGGAATAAACAAGTAATTTCAATACAGCATGGTAAATGCTAGGATAAATGAATGCACAGAGTGTTGTGGAAACAAAGAGGAGAGGCAGACATTGCAGGTTCCTCAGGAAGCAGACTCTAAGATGGAGATTAATATGCAGGAACTTTATTAGGGAATGTCCTTGGGATCAACATTTGAGGAAGGGAAGGGAGCTGGATTGGGAAAAGAGAGATGTCAACCTGCAATGTAGTCTCAATGGAAACCTCAGCTGAACTTGAGGGGAGTTCTGAAGATGGTGGGTCTATCTACAGCAGCATTCATAGCAGCAGGGTAGAAAGCCCTTTATTCCTGAAGGGTGCGCCATGGAATCTACCAGTCTACCCCTTGCATCACCTGGATCCTCTTCTTCATGTAAATCCTGGGAACAGTGCTTGGGTGATAATCTTCATGTTCCTCCTTATCCATTGCAGATCCATTTACCCTCAGCTGGCATCTCTGCTGGTCTCAGTGGCTACCTGATGATGTGATTCAGACTCTCATCCCTGAGGTGTCTGAGCTCCTGTCAACATGCTCTTCTTAGGACAGGGTGACTGCACTTATTTATTTACTGCCAAAGAAGCACCAAGAGGTGTCCAAGGGGACCACATGGGCACCCAACATATGCCTCTGTGAACCTGTTGTGTAACAATTACCGGCCAAGTTAGAGAAGACTCCTGTCTGCTAGTTCCTTGATATAAGGAGACTGAAATATTCAGGCAGCAGCTCTGGCTTGTGATACAGAAGGAATCTTGTTGTGTCCCCTCGTGGAAGCATTCCCCTTTGAAAACTAGGAGCTTTGAAACCATAGATTTATGGTTTATGGGAATGGGAGCACAAATCCCTGAAGTAGGTCACTGAGAGTGGTGGTGAGCAAGGCCACTCCTGATCTACCCCTTGTTCTCAGATCCGTATGTTATACCTCCTGGAGATATGGTAGGAAGTGTATAAGGATCTTTAATTTAAAGACCATGTAAAGATCTTTCATTTAAAGTGTCTATTATGGGGGGGGGTGGGCACAAGGGATGGAGGGATGTGCTTATATGATGACTGATAAACAATAATGTACAACAAAAATTTCACAATAAAAAAATAAAATAAAAAAAAATAAAGTGTATATTGTGTTCTAGAGGATGGAACCCCACCCTGATAGGGTATTGCTTCTGAGCTGGTGGTTCAACTGTACCTTCGTCAGGCTGTTGCAACACTCTATCAGGCCTGCAGCTTCAGTGGTGTAGTAATGTGATAGGACCAGTGGACCCCATGGTCTTAGGCCCGTTACTACACCTCCTTTGGAGTGAAGGGTGTGTCTTAGACTGATGTGATGTTATTTGGCATCCTGTGTTAGCAGCTCTTAGATAGTGGTGCTAGCTGAGGCCCTATAGGCAAGAAAGACAAATATATACTCAGAATATGTGTCTATTTTTGTTGAAATGAATCACTGGTCATTCCAGGGAGGAAGACTTTCATTGAAGTCAGCTTGCCACCAAGTGGCAAGTCTTCAAGGGATGGGAACATATTGGGGACTTGGTTTTGGACTCTATCGGAGGCATGGACTGTTGGAGGACTTGGTGGCCCCACGTTGGGTCTGTGGGCCACCCCAGGAATCAGGTGCGCCCTTGGGCAAGTCAGCTTTCTTTTGCTGAAGGGAAATGACAGTATAAAGTAAAATAGTCACTGTGTAATAAATTTACTAACAAACTTCTTTTTTTAAAAAAATTTTTCCCTGGCATCCTTTTATGGTGAAAGTTATGAGGAACTTAACATCATAGAAGTTTTCTCTGAGTTATCTCTTTAGTTAAAATTTCAAACCAGCATTCAGCAGCAGCAGGAGCTAGGAAAGCCTTGGTAAGAGGGAGGCCATACTATTGGGTGCATGCAGACTCCACTCTTGCCACCATGACTACTTCATTATGCACTCATTGTGCCAAAGTAGGGGTGGCAGATGACAGAGGCTGGCTGATGTCACCTGACCAAGTCATTTTGTCTGCCTGGTTGTTTAGTGCCTATTCCATGGTGGACGTTTTCTGGTGGGCATTAACATGCAGTATAAAGATCTTCCCACTTCATAGTGACACTCATGCATCTATCCCAGACCTCCTTTCCCTGCTCTTTCAATCTTTCTCATTCTAGGCTCCTGACCATCTGGCCAGGCCATTTGCCGCTACCTATGAGCCTTTATATATTCTAACCTCAGGCCGCTTCTCTCTCCCTATAAAGTGGATGATGAGGTGTACCACCCAAACTTCTATTCATTGGGAGGATTTTCCGTCACCAGCATTTCTCATGGTCTCCCCTACGAGGAGCTGTAGTACAGCTGGAGTCCATTTGGAGCTTGCACCCATATGATGAAGCTGACTCAGCCATGAACCAAACTCAGGTGTTTTGCTCCTCCATCAGCTGGTAATAAGGGATCCCCCATGCAGCCATATATGTGAGCTGAGGGAAAGCTGCTGGTGCAAGAAAGGTGCCGACCTGGAGCTCTGGGCTACCATCTCGTGTAGCTTGCTTGTGCCTTCTGGCCCTATTCATGCTCAATCCTGGATGTACCACTTCCATCCTTTTAATCTCTTCTTCCACCATCTGTCATAGCAATTCTATCATCTTTGCCTCACTTAAGAGTGAGTCAGTGTGTTTCCCATGCTTCTAGGAGCTGTCTTAGCAGGGAGTTCACACCATTTCTGAGAGTCTTTGCTAGTGTGTTATATCCTGTATCCTTGGAGAGTACTTCCAAATCTATAAACTCTCACTTATTCAACTTTATGTTCTCTCCCCCTTGACTCATGTGTATTCTCCCAGTGACTGGCTGTGCATTCTGGGTAGGTCCTGCAGGTCCTTTAGGGTCTCATCCTTTTCCTCCCATACCAAGCTCAACATGTCCCTATGCAGGTTATGTTGTGACTCAACCTTAGTTTTTGGTCTAGTGGCCAGCAGGAGAGATGGGGGCATATTTTCAGGGGTCACATGTTGCTTGTGGAGAGAGGCCTCTGCATCCTCTAAGCAAGGAGAGTGCCAGCCTTACTAGGGGAATAGGCTACTTCTGCAGACTAAGAGGGTTCAGAGGGATCTAGGGACCCAAGATATTTTAATGCATCAACCCAGATGTCCCCCTTCCATATGTCAGTGTTCCATTCTTTCCCAACCAGGGCCTTACCCTTGTTAGAGCAAGCTTATCTTTGTTGGGACTTTAACTTTATTTGGAGCTGACTACTCTGACAATTAATTCCTAGGTGGCATCTCAACTTCCTCTGCTCTCCTGCTGTAGGAGATGAGAAGGACTTTATATGCTACCAGAGAAGCCCTCTGGCTTTGATGCTTAGCTTGTACTTGTGGATTAATCTCTCCTAGCTTTTCCTTATCTTTTTCCAAAGCTTCATTCAAACTTAGCAATAGACACCCAATTCCATTGTCCTCATAGTTACTATTTGCCCCGTATTTTTCATAGCGTGATATTTCATACTGGCTAGTGGGTTCCCTTCCACTGTTAAACCAGATCACTACCAGTGATTTAGGATTAACTCCTGTGGAAAGGAAGGAAGGAAGCAGTATTGGGGAGGTGGAGAAGTAGAGTTGCAATTCGGTTTCAGTGGAAGCCTCAGCCACCCCTATTGAGAGTTCTGAAGAGGGACTGATCCATCAGAGCTGTCCTAAGTTGGAGTGAGAGAATACTGAGCCTTTGTACCCCCATGTCAGATCTGTGGGCCACCCCAGGAAGCAGGTGTGGCCTTGGGCAAGGCAGCTTTCTTTGGAAGAGTCAGTCCCTGAAGGGAGATGACAATGTAAAGTAAAATAGTCATTGTGTAATAAATGTACTAACTTATACTTTTAAAATTTTTCCCTAGCATCTTTTTATGGTGAAAGCTATGTAGAGCTTAACATCGTAGAAGTTTTCTCTGAATTATCTCTTCAGTTAAAATTTCAAACCAGCAAGCCACAAGGATTACTTTTTCTTGCAGCTGGGAAAAATGACTACTGTATAATAGAACTTCTATCAGGAAACTTACGGGTAAGATTTTTAAAAATGTTTAAAAGCATATAAGCATTCATTTACTGGAGAGAAACACAGTGAGAGAGAAAGAGAACAAAATAGTTATCCATTTGATAACTATTATTTTGCTAGAATAAAATCATGTGCCATTTGTAAGGGTTGGAATCTTTTCCAATTTTACCAGCATTTCTTAAATATTCCAACTCTGAAATTTTTTAACCTCAATATGTAGTTCATAAATATGGGAAGAGTTTTCATGTCCAAGTTTCTCTCTTTCTCTTTTGTGAATAGTCCTGTTTTCTCAATAAAACACTATGGGATGAGATTGGTTAATTATGATTCTTTCTCTTTCAGGTGAGAGTGAATTTGGGTGCAGATGAACAGTTGCTCCTTTCTGAGCAAAGACTTCGTATGGATGACTTGGTTTGGCATATAGTGGAACTGCACTGTGTTAAGGATAATCTCTCTTTGGTTATTGATAAACGTTATGAGACAACTGGCCAAATCACTGGTGGGATGCACAATTTGCATTTTCAACATGGAATCTACGTAGCAGGCCACAGTGAACTTGATGTCCCTTACCTAGATGGAGAGCTCCCCAATTTCCGTGGATGTATGGAGGATGTGGTATTTAACCAGAGGGAGATCCTTACGTCCCTTAGATCTTACCCTGGTTTTAAGAAAGTTTATGAGGTGTCACTAGGGTGCAGTGATGAATTTTTTGCAGGGGAGGATGAAGCCATCAGTTTCTTTAGCTCCAGATCCTATGTCACCTTCCCAGAATGGAGGGTGCAAGGGGAAGGGCTACTGGAATTTGCTTTGCAGACTGGTACTCAGCAAGCCTTGCTTTTATTTCAGTCAGGTAGAGAAGGAGATTTTGTTGCTTTGGAAATAGTTAAAGGTCTGTTGAAGGCTCATGTAGGAAGGAGTAAAAGTAATACTCAGCTCTCTTCTTTTAGCTTAGTTAGTGACAACAAGTGGCACATTATTCAACTCAAATTCACTGGAAAGTATCTGGACCTGATGGTAGATGGACAAGGGGTGAGGACGTTGCTGCCTTTGCAAAGCAAATCATTTGTATCTGAAGGCCCCCTCTTCGTGGGAGGTCTTCATAACCGGAAGGGAGAAGAAGTTAAGAGGTTAGAACTTGTCTCTGTGCCTAGGAAATCTGCTGGAGGAATCTCTTTCAAAGGGTGCTTAAGAGGCTTGGAAACCAATTCAGAAAAGAGAGCATTAAAGGATGCCCTTGTTTCCAAAGACATATCTGCTGGGTGTAAAATGAAGAGTAATGGTAATGAAAATCCTTCCATAACAACAACAGCAAACCTGCTTCAGTCAGAAGTTCCCCTGTCCACTGCTGTCCCTGAGGCAGGCAAGCCTTTGCTTCAAGATGCAAGTAGCCGTTTCTTGGTTCTAAATAACTTGGAGGTTCAAGAAGGTGGGCAAGCCTTATTGGAACAAAGGCATATGAAGGTGGAGGTGGAATTTAAGGATTTGGGTATCCATCATTCTCAAATACTATTTAAAATAAAGGAAATGCCTCTTCATGGGTTCCTTCGATTAGATGTTTCCCCTGAGCAAGAAAAGGAGAAGGCTTTTACTGTGTTAGATTTGGGGCAAGGAAAAGTTTGGTATGTCCATGATGGTTCAGAAGAACCTAGGGATTATTTCACATTTTCGGTCTCTTCCAACAGCAAGAAGGAAATGCCGTTATATCCGCAAGGACATGTTCCACGTGTGTTTAACATTATTGTCATTCCAGTAAATGATCCCCCGTACCTTAAGCTCCCTGAGGGAAACTTGCTTCTCCTATTTGAGAACTCTAAGAAAAGACTGACTCCAAATATAATACACGTGTCAGACCCTGACACGGATTCCTTGAGTCTTAGTATTTCAGTTCTTGGTAACTTCAATTCTGGTGCTGGGTTTTTAGAAAACACCAACGATCCTGGGAGAGCCATTAATGGTTTCACACATGGGGATTTAAGAGATGGCAACATTTTCTATGTGCACAGGGGCCATCGGAACTCTCGGATCCTTCTGAGAGCAAGTGATGGAGAGCTGGTTAGCAATACAGTGGTGTTACGGGTCATGGCTGTTCCTTGGGACTTTAAAGTGGCCAACAGGACCGGTGTGGTGGTACAGCAGGGTGGCATCGTTCTGATTACACAGAGTAACTTGTCAGTGGAGGTTAATGGTGAACGCCATGAGATAGAAACCTGCTATAATGTCACTCGTCCACCTCAGTTTGGCCAGATTCAGTGGCAGGGATCAGGTGGTGAATGGGAACAAGTTAGTTCCTTTTCTCAGCATTCCATTGATCGGGGTCGGGTCCGGTACCATAATACATTCAAAGAATTGCAGCTAGAAAATGTAATGGATCACTTTAAATTTAAAGTTAACATAGAAGGGAAAATCAGTGAAGAGCTGATGTTTCCTGTTACTGTACAATGGCTAAAGTTTACACTTCTGAAAAATGTTCCTCTCGAGATCAGTAAAATGAACAGACAAGTATTGACTTCTGATCATTTGCAGGCTGTGACAGAGGGTGTGGAAGTAGCTGAGAGGGAATTACATTTTAAGTTACTGACCCCCCCTAAGAAAGGAAAATTGCTACATGGCAATAAAATTCTAAAAACAAACTCAGTCTTCAGCCAACAAAACATTACAGACTCTAAGATAAGTTATGAACCACAGGAGAGGCCCAGGGAAGACACACAAGATACATTTAGGTTCTTGATTGTTGCAAAACACATAGAATCAAAAGATTATACTTTCCGAATAAACTTTAAAGCAGATAACATGCACATTATTGTAATGAACAGAGGATTATTTGTAAAAGAAGGAGAAGGGAAATTAATTACAAAGTCGGAATTATTTGCTCAAACCTTGGACAATCAGACCTTCCAATACAAAATCACCAAGAGTCCTCAACATGGGAAGCTGAAACTGATTGGCTTTTCAGATTCTCTGGGAAGTCATGACAATATCACCACATTTACCAATCAAGACATAGTGGGTGAGCGGCTGCTGTATGTCCATGATGACTCGGAGACTCACTGTGATGAATTCCTCGTTGTGGCCTCCAGCACCGGACCAGGCCAAGAGGGAGTGATGAGGGATCTTGACACAGAGCGTTTGTCTACAGAAATCAAAGTCACCATTTCTGTCGAGTTAAAGAATGATGAGAAACCAGTGCGCGTGGTAGATAAGGTCTTCCACGTTGTGCGGAATGGCCAGCGCTTATTGACCCTGGCAGATCTCTGTTACCATGATCCTGATTCCGATTTTGATGATGGGCAATTGCTCTACACCCGGCGGGGCATCCCAAATGGGGACTTGGTGCGAGCTGGTGACCCCACTCAGAAACTCTACCAGTTCAGGCAAGACGACCTACAGGAAGGGCATGTGCTCTTCAGGCACCGGGGTGCAGACTTGGCCCGCTTTGTGCTGTTTGTGACAGACGGCGTCCACTACACGTCCTCCCTTCTTGAGGTCAGTGTGTCAGACCCCTACGTCCGGATAGCCAACAACACGGGGCTGCTGGTACAGAGAGGAAAGGACAGCAGCCTCACAGCAGCCAACCTCAGTGTCACCACAAACCAAGATGTCAGAACGGACCACGAGATCGAATTCCACATCGTGCGCCCCCCGAAGCACGGCAGAGTGCTGGTCAACAACTCGGTGTCCCGCTCATTTTCCCAGCATGACGTGAAGCAAGGACGTGTGATTTATAGGGGTGACGGCAGTGGCAACTTTGATGTCTTCAACCTGACAGTGAAAGTTAAAGATACATGTTTAGAAGTGGGTGTCTATGTGCGCCTGTACTTGGAAAGCCACCAACATCACACCCAAATTCTACACAGCAAGACCCTTGTAGTTGAAGAAGGAAAACCAGTAAAACTGAGTAGAGGAAGGCTCCAGGTAGGTAGTCGACCTAGCACCAAGCCTCCTCACTCTCCCGGAACCACGGAGGCGAATGATCTATTTGTTTGCTTCTGAAAGCTATTTGTGTGCTGATTTCTCTGCTGGTATTTAGAATGAATTCTTTAAAAGTGTGAATGCCGTTGAGAAGAAAAGCTGGAAGGTTTCATAAGTTTGATACTACTAATTTTCCTATAGTTGGAAATGGAATGTAAGTAATACTAAGCCTTACTGGACAGCTGTGTGCACATGGACACGAGAGTATGTGTGTGTTTAGTGTCGGAGGAACTGGGAATGAGGAGGAGATGTATATATTATAGTAAATTAAGAGATCTTTTTTCATTTTTCCTAGCAACACTGCCAATATTCCCTTTCGACTGAGTTATGTTCATAATGTGATGAAGCAGGGTCTAAAACCTTAGAGTAACTTAACAAACATAAAAAGCATTCCCGAAACAGCAGAGGATACTGTATGACACAGTGTATTTCCTTAGCTCTGAATGTGGCCTGTTTATTTTCCTGAAACTGATGGATAAAATTGGCCTGGACCAATGGAATGCCAGGAGTGAGACCTCACACCAGAGGCTACCTGGTTTCCTGGGCCTCCTTCTTGGGACCTTCCAGCAGGCACAGACCTGCCGATCAGAGTTAGGAGAGAGTGTTCTTTTTAGGGTAATCCTGTGCAGGGTGCTTAAACTGTGATTTATGACAATGGCCACAAATGCAGGCTATTCTGAATCTACCGTCAGGACTGCAAACACGTTTACTTGTTTGCATAATGCAGCCAATAACATCAAGTAGAAATCGATTCAAATCAGAAGCAGTTATACTAAATAATCAGTTTTGACCAAGGGACTATGGAGCCCACCAGCTTTTCTCAATTCTTTTTCAGGATCTTAGAGAGTTTATGTTTAAGTTTCACCACAAGGGGGCATGTGTAGTTCAGTGGCTATGAATTAGGAACAGTTTTGAAATGGATTTTGCTGAATCAGTGAATTCAATATACATTGAAAATGCTGAGCTAGTTAAAATGCGAGAGAAAAATAAACTTTCCTCTAAAGTCTTGCAATTTTAGTGATTCAGCTGCTGCTTCCACCACATTGTATTCCTTCTCTTTATACAATTTTATTTCTCTCAGCTCATCTTTCTGAGTCCTGGGTTTGTTGCCACTGTGAATGATGCCTTGTTAACATGTTAGTAGCTATTCAAGTGTTGTTGACCATTACTCTTCTTTGCGACCAGGACTGAAATGCAAAATATTGGCATGATCACTGGAGCACACCCAGATTTAAACTGTGTATCGACCCTGGTTGTAACTTAAACCATTTGTGGACATTAATAGAAAAACGTTTGGTTCATCAAGGGTCTTGACTCTTACATGTATTAATGTGTTTTTGTGTTTGTGTGTTGTGTATGTGAACTCAAGGCTGTGCATGAAGATAATGTTCCTTCAGAGGCAATGTTCATTGTCAGAACTCCGCCAATGCATGGATACCTCCGAAAATCTTTACCAGAAGAAAGCAGCTTGGGTACGGATGAAAAGTCCCCTTTGACATTTACACAACAAGATATTGATGATGGTAACATCCATTATGTGCAGACTGCACCTGACCAACAAGAGGACCGTTTTTTACTGGATGTGATGAATGGTTTCCAAGCTGTGAGTGGAGTTGAAATCTTGGTGGATATCATCCCTAAGTGGATTCTTCTGGAGATACAGAATTTCACAGTCCAAGAAGGTGGTTCCAAAGCACTTCTGGAAGACTACCTCAAAATTCCAAGCAAATATTTTAAGGGACTTGACTGTGAATTTGTTCTCCTCAAACCACCAAAACATGGTTATGTTGAAAATTCTCATTTTCCAAGAGTAAAGCTAATGAAATTTACCAGGAAACAGGTAATAACTCTCAGTTAACATATTTGGGTATGTTGGATGAAAGAAGAAATTTGGCTATTTATTATTTAGATGCATAGACTCTCGGGAGTGATGGGACCTTAGAGGGTTTCTAGTCCAAACTCCCAACAGATGCCAGAAGCCCTTCCCCAATAACCCATAGAGAGGCCGTCCAGCTATTACTTAAATATCTTCAGTGATAGAAAACTCATTACTTCCTGAGATGGGCCCTTCCAGTTTAAAAACACTCCAATTGTTAGAAAGTTCTTTATACTGAGCTGAAATCTGCCACTTGGAAATTTCTGCTGATGCTGACGGAGTGCATACTCTGTGCCATGCCCTCTGCTAAGCATAGCGCTATCAATAGCTAAAATGGCCCAGTCCCTGCAGTAAAGCATCTGGACACAGCTGCCAGTCTGGTGTCCAATCAGCATAAAATAACTGGAGTCAACTCTGGGCTGCTATCAGGTTTCTTTGCTGTGGGCTAGAATGGTTTTGTGAGACTTTTCCTTCTTTCCATGAATAAAAGAATGATTTCCATTACTTTCTTCTTAAATATTGAAAAGTAGCTTGCAAATCCCCGTCATTTCCTTTATAAGCTCCTAGGAATACACACTCTTCAGGTTGGAAACCATTAACAACCACCTAGCACCTTTGGATATCTTTGCCCAGTTAGCTAAGAACCCATGTGTGCTGCTTCATTTTGCTTCTAAGGATTTCAACTGGTTTACTAAACACTTATTCTGTTCAAGTTACTGTGCAAGGTTACCATGATAATAGACATATTCCTCACCCTCAAGAAATGCTGTGAGAGAATCAGGCACACAAACTTTAATATGAGGTATACTCTTCTAATCTTGCACAGAGCATTTTCACAATGGTGCTATGGGAGTGCAGAGTTGGCACCTTTGACTCTAATTGAAGAGAATGGAGAAACCTGCACAGAGGTGATAATGTTTAAGCTAGACTTTGAGGAGGGAGAGAAAGAGCAGGGAGCTAACAGAGGAGGACACAGAAAAAAAATCAGTGCAAGCAAAGGGAAGAGCATGGCCAAGGGCATGGAGGCATTGAAGTGAATGGCATTCTGGGGGACTGGAGACTAGTCCACAAGGCTCGCAGATGAGGAGTCGTAGAGAGTGCTTGGGCCCAGACTGTGAAGAGTCTTGAATTACATATCAAGAGAGTTAGACTTAACCAGGTGGCTTTAAGGAGCCATGGGGAGAAGTAGAGAATGCTGAAGGTTAGAAACAACCTTAGAAATCAGTGCTTCTCAATGGGGCACCCAGAGAAGGTGACTCTTTAGTGACTCCATGGAGGCATCTGTTAATCATAGCTTCCCTCTCAAAGCCTGGACAAACCATCCAAGGTAACCGCTCTCTCTGGTGTGAGTTGAATCTAGTACTGTTTACCTTGTGCACTCTAAGTGAGGGCCTGAGTACAAATTTTCCTCCTGTCTTGGCCAGTTCATTATTGATCATGCTTTGTAAGAAATATATATTTAAGGATAGTTGGTTGAAATCTGTGTATGGAGTACCTGTGTTCCCTGTAGTATCTATGTTATCATGTAGCCTTGTTCACAGTCAAGGTCATGTGTCTCTGCTCTTCCAGATGACCCCTTCACACTTTCTCTTCCTATGTAGCTGTGGAGGTCTCCAAGTTTTGAGACACCATCATTTTCACTTACAGTGACACTAACTGCTAACAACTAGTGGCTATAGCCTTTAGTGGCTTGGAGAAGGAGAGGCCATGGCCATATTTGCCCTTCATTCGTTCCACAAGTAGTTTTTGAGTATCTATTATGTATCAGGCACGCCAGTTCTAGGTACTGGAGATAAAGCAGTGAACTAACCCAGCAATAATCCCTGCCCTTATGCATCTTCTTTCCTGGTGGTGGAAAGAAGGAGATATAGAGAGAAAATAAATAAAATAAATAAGTGAAATAAATGGTATGTGGAATGAAGAGTAATGCTATGGAGAGAAATAAAGCAAGAAAGGGAGATAGGATGTGCTGGGGCCTTCAGTGGTGTGTGTCCGTGTGTGTGTGTGTACTGATGTTCAGTTTTGAATAAGGTGATCAGGGAAGGCCCCATTTGAGTCGACACCTGGAGGAGGTGGTGGATGAGTGAGCTAGGTGGATATGAGCAAGAGCATTCAGGAAGAGGGAAGAGCAGGCAAACAGCTCTGTGTGGGGAGCAGCAAGGGGTTTAGTGTGACTGGAGCTGCATGCGTGGGGAGAGCAGTAGATGAGGTTAGGGAGGTCCAGCATGGGGGGGCCTTCGACTTCATCTTTGACCCTGAGTGAGTTGGGGAGCAATGTGGTAGGCAGGATGTGAGCAGAGGAGCAACACAAAATGCCCTGAACATGATTGGTGGTGGGGGACCAAATACTTTTTAATCTTTTAAGATTTTCTACAAGTTTGTTATATCCTTTAATTTTAGGTCAGCAGATATTTTTCTAGTGTTAGAAGTCTAGGAATGGACAAATCCCCACCAAACCCTCTCTTTGCCTTTAGATTAATACGTGTTAAATGGCATGTAATTTTGGGGAGTGCCACTCCATTGAGGAAATAATGTATTTCTCCAGGAAAGATACTGAGGAGGCAATTCTATTTAAATGCTACACTCCTAAAGTGTATTAGGTTAAAATTTCTCCTGCCCTCTGGTTAGGGCTATCTTCCACGTTTGTTTTCAAATAGCTTAAAACAGCATGTTCCGGGAATGTGTGGTCAGGCCTATGATCTGAAATTGCTCATGGAACTCAAAAGAAATTCTCATAGGACTTGTGTACAAGTGGCCACAACTTTCCCTTAAGACTCTTCATGAACTTTTTGACTCTTGTCAGAAACACATCTGAGAGATCAAAAGTCTTTGCTCAAAGGAAGGGCGCCATAGGAATGGGCAAAGTTGAACTGTTAAAAATTTTGGCTGTATTTTATCAAAACAAACACAACCTCAGAGACTTTTTCAGAAGTTCAAGTACTCCTGTTGGGAGAAGTTCTCCGCCATTGTATGTTTGGGTCACAGACTCACTGAAGTCAAGTTCCCTTCTAGCTTTAAAATTCTCTGGGTCTCTGATTTCGATCCTGTGCTCTTCAGCATTTCCACCCCAGAGCCTTAAAGACATGAAGGGCATTCTGATCAAATTTGTGGTGATTACAAATGCAAGAAGATTAACTAATTCATTAGATGACCATTTCAGAATGAAAATTAGAAAGATGAAATCTAACAAGGATAAAAGTAAATGTTTGCATTTGGGTTAGTACAGTGAGGGAAATTTGCCTTGATAGAATAATTTGGTTCCAACATATTTCATTATATTCTGCCCACAGGAGATGTATGGTAGCTAGCCATGGGTAGCATCCGTTAAGAGACGCACCAAGAAATGATCGTATTCTGAAGGAGGAGGAGCAGGATTAGGAGGTAGCAGGTGCAACCTCTCATACAAAGAGCATTTAAGGGAATAATGCAGGCTTAGCTCAGAAAAGAGGAGTTTGAGTAAACTTAATGGTTTCCCTATGTCCATATGTTTCCAAAGAGCAGAAATCTAACCAGTGGGTGGAAGCTTCAGAGCCTAAACCTAACATTCTGAACTGTCCAACAAAGCAATCCACAACTTCAAAAATCAGTCACTCTAAATAACCAAGTAAAGTCTGAATTTTAATGGGTGTTGTTCCATTGGAAGAAAAGGCAGATTATATCAGTTACCTACAATACATTTTAGTGTTAGAAATAGCCTTTGAACTCAAGTCTTCTGATTACAAGTCTAGCATTCTCTTTACTACCCTACATTGCTCCATCACTCTGTTCCTCCTTAAACTTATTTCTAGAATGCAACATTCATAAAAACTGTACCATCCATTGTAATTTGCACTCTGATTGTCAGAATCAAACTTCATGAGATGAACACATACATGCTTCTATGTTTTAGAGGGATATAAAAAGTTAGGATTTCTTTTATAGCAATTTATTCATATTTTTAAGTCACATTTCAGTAAGTTGGTGATTTTTTTTGTGGTTAATTATAGGTGGAAGATGAATTGATTTACTACGTTCATGATGATAGTGAGGAGCTTCTTGACAATTTCACCGTCTTTGCAAATAGCTCAGAGCTTGGAAAACAAAGTTTGCCCCAAACTCTTTTTGTGACTGTTGAATCAGTAAATGATGAGGCTCCAGTAATAACAGCCAATAAAATCCTTCAGGTAAGTGCTCCATGCTCTTTGATTTATCATGATAACAATAGGGCTACTGATTTGATTTTCTTTTATATTATTTCTGATATTAAATAATAAGACATATGACTATGTATGCATAGTTGACATATTCCTACTGATTTAAAATAAATGTCAGTTATTACCAGGCAATTCTGTTGGGCACTGTCAGGAGATGATGAATCACAATGAGTTGCTGCCATATTGTATTTCTTGAGTGGGCACTGCTCACACTGTGTTTCCTGAGGCACGGCCTTTTCTACTAGGTTGGGAAGGTGTATGCACACAGGAAACTCCTGTGGGGCTAGTAGCAGAGTGGTTAAGAGAATGGGCTCTGCAGTAGACAGATATGGGTGAGAATCAGCTCCCCCCTACTGGCTGTGTGACCTTGGGCAGGTTATTTAGCCCTCTCATTTGCTGTCCTATAGGTGGGGCAAAATGGAGACACAGTTGTGAGGATTAAACGATAAAATGATGTAAAACTCTTTCACAGCGCCTAACATGTGGTTAGGGCTCAATAAATGGTAGTTATTATTACTAAAAAACTCCAAGCCCACACCAGCTTAGGGTAAAATAAGGCCACCATACAGTCGTGCGTCAGTATTTTGCTGGTTCTGGGAGCTTCCATCACCCTTCACTCTTTCTGAGAATCCCCTGGGAGTGGTTCTTAAGCAATCATGGATAAATATGTCTTGGCTGCCACATAGTGTCCACCATTTTTCTTGTCTCCTGAAGTAATGTCTGTTGCTGTGGCTTTTCTTGCCCACACAAAGGGGCTGATGTCCAGGAAGCCTTCCAGCTCTGATGGCACCATTTCCTACAGCACCAACACTACCAGTGTCAATGCTAGTGAACCCATTGGTGCCAGTTTGCACTCAAGTATCCCAAAGCTCTCATTTAATAAATTTTCTTGGTTTTAACTCACTGCTTCTTGCTGTCCCTGCTTCTAAGGACTTGGGCATGAATCCACCATTCTAGCTTGGAGAATGATTGTAACTATTATAATAGTAAGTGCTCAAAAAATAAGTGTTAGCTATTATTATGTGCCAGTTACTGCTCTAAGGGCTTACAGCTCACTGAGATATGTGTACCATTTCCCTCATTGGACAGATGAAGGATTTGCATGACAGCTGAATGACAGGCTCAGGATAGGGTGATAGCATGGGAGCCTAGTGGTTTCTTCATGCCTCTTTTCGTGGTCTCCAGCAATGTCTGACACACAGGAAACAAGAAACATTTTTTGAAGGAATGAGTAAATGAGAATATAAACTGTCAATTCTCCCCCTACACTGGTTCATGTTTCAGAGACCAGGCTTTCGTCTTGGCTCTTTATTCCTTTGATATGGCTGCATTTCTGGGAGAATCCTTGGCCCCTCATACAAATGAGCCCCTAGCGGACTCATTCATCAGATGTATCCAGACATGGGAATCTGAATGTGTTCACCCTGAAATTTGGCTGAGACAAATCTTTGTACATACATATTTGGCAACTTCAGCTTTGTTTACACCACTCACGAGGGCAAATAGTTAATAGTAGATTCTTTAGAAGTTCAGAGGAAGTTGGGTGGTCAGAGGAGATGCAGAAGAGGTAGACATGAGTAGAGGTCCAGTGGTTCCACCTGGTGAGGGTACCTCCCTTGGGTGGGGGAGAGCTTGACAATGAGGTGGGGCATTTGTTGTTGTAACATTGACTGAAAGATGCTACTGTATTTAGTGCCTGAGGGCCGGGGATGCATAATATCTTTCAGTGTTTGGGACAGTCCTACAAAATGAAATGTTCCACTCAAAGTGCTGATAGTGTCCTGTTGAGAAACACTCTTAACCAGGGATTGGCAAATTACAGCCCATGGCCCTAATCAGGCTGCTGCCTGTTTGTTTGTACAGTCCACAATCTAAGAATACTTTTTATAGATGAACATTGGCAATCGATTTGATAATAGAGAACACTAACTTTGAACCCCATGTAAGCAAAATGTTATCTCTCAAAAAAGAATTCCACTCTTCTCATTAGTAGACTTGTATTACAAAAAATTGTACTCTACTATTATAATTACAATTTGAATTTTATCAGTAAAACTTTGTGGAAATTCATTTTCTTTCTTATTACATAAGTACCTATATACTATCCTCAATTTTGCCTTGTGACCCGCAAAGGCTAAAACATTTGCTTTCTGCTTCATCATGGAAAATGTTTGCCAACCCCTGCTATAAACCAGCACTATCCAATAGAACTTTCTGCAATGATGAAATGTTTTGTATCTGTGCTGTCCAATACAGTAGCCACTAGCCACATGTGACTATGAAGTATTTGAAATGTGGCCAGTAAGATTAAAGAATGGAATTTTTAATTTTATGTAATTTTAATTCATTTCAATTAAATTTAAATAGCCCCATGTGCCTGATGGCTATTATAGTGGACAGAGCAGTTCCACGCTCAAAGGAGAGATTCTGATAGGTGGAGGCAAGACTGTACAAGGGATAGGGAGCAAACCAACCCAGCTGGAGTCATAGATCCATGTTTTACAGCATAAGGTTGGAAATGAGGGCCTTGAATTCTAGGAAAGGATTTGGATTTTATTTTGTGTCCATGGGAGGAATATGCAGATATATTCTATCTGTCTAGAATGGCTGGGAGAATGTAGAACTTTCAAAGCCACTTCATCTTCATAATGTTTAAAAAAGGAAAACAGAATATTGTGTTCATTGTTTGAGAGATTTTCCCTCCTTTACTTCACACAGCTTTTCATTCTTTTCACAGTCTAGATCCAGAATTGCCTTTTAAAGTACAGCTATGTTTGTCCACCCTCCTTCCATTTCTGAAGTTCTTTATAATCATGGCTAAAGGATAGGAAATCTATGTAGCAGTCTCTGAATGGCCTTGTGGCTGAATTTAGTCATGGGTCTTGAAGACCCCATCACAGTTTTTCATGAGTTTTAGTTGTTGCATAGTAACCAACTAATGTAGATCAGTTGGGCTATAGGAAAAGTATTTATGTATTACATATTATACAGTGTATATAATACTTATGTCTGCGTGTATGTGTGTGTGTGTATTACATATTTTATATATAGTCCTTCTATTAAAAAACAGAGGATCAAGTTGAACCCTCACAGGTGAGGAAACTAAAGCCCAGGGAACAGTGGGAGCCGAAGGTACCATAACTGGTTGGTTGTAGGGTCTCCTGACTTCTACTCCGAGAATCCTTTGTCCCTGATTTCGTCTACTCTGCTTTATTAGGGGGGGAGAGTAGGGAGGGGAATGGTTAAATAAACCATTTAACTAATAAAACAATGGTTAGGGCTGGTGCTATTCTAATCCAGTAGATCTTAAATGTTATTTTCTAAGTGGCAAAGGATCTAGACTACCAAGATACAAAATGGTGCAACAGATCCTCTGTGTCTGGGTGGTGGTTGACACAAAGAGAAAAGGGGTCTTTGGTGAGAGTGGTAGCCAGGCAAGTGAGAGGGAGAGGCAGGAAGAAAGCAAGGAGAACAGCACAGAAATAAGGAACAGTAAGCTTTTGACCCTAGTTTATAAAACCCCCCAGCGCCAATTAAATGATTGCACAGGTGTACCCAGGAGCCCACCTGGGGATAAGCCAACTAAAAAATTTTACTTTGTTAAAAATCGCTGGGGTTTTTAAAATCTGATTTTATTTGCTCATAATAGTTGGATCTAGGAATAGGCTTTTTAGTGCTTTTGGTTATCTTCCAGCTTGGCTCATTATTCAGCCTCTACATTTTAAGTGAAAACTTAATGGTGTTTATACGTTTGGAACTTGTCACTTTATACCTCTAGTGTACCTCACAGTCATTACCCAGGTATCCTGGGGATGGGATGGTCTAGTGTGTCAAACTTGTTGGCCCTCCCTCTGTTTTCAGCTCCTTTTCTCCGTCTCCCCACACAGATTCTTGTTGTATTAATACATTGTTGTTACATGCCTTCAAGTCATCTCTGACTCCTGGCGACCCTGTAGTGATGTCCACAATGTCCTGTCCTCAACAGCCCTGCTCAGCTCCTATAGACTCGTGCCTGTCTTCCTTTATGGAGTCAATCCCTCTGATATTTGGTCTTCCTCTTTTCCTGCTGTCTTCTTCTTTTCCCAGTTTTATCATCTTTTCCAAAGAATCCTGCCTTCTCCTGATGTGCCCAAAGTAGGATAGCCTCAGTTTTATCATTTTTGCTTCCAGTGATAGTTTAGGTTTAATTTGCTCTAGGACCCACTTGTTGGTCTTTTTGGCAGTCCAGGGGATCCGTGAGGTCTCCTCCAACACCATGTTTCAAATGAATCAGTTTTTTTTCCGTGTCAGCCTTCTCCGCTGTCCAGCTTTCACACCCGTACATGGTAATCGGGAACACGAGCTGTGGATAATCTTGGCCTTGGTCTTTAATGACCCTTCCTTACACTTGATGATCTGTCCTAATTCTTTCATTGCTGCCCTTCTGAGTTTCAATCTTTTCTTGATTTCTTGGCTGTATTAATACCTACTGAACTCATTCTCAGCAAAGTGATCTGAGAAGTAGATTGTTGGCTAGAGTGAGGAATTGTACAGAGCTATAAAAGTTTACGTTTATTGTCTGCTTGCCGAGTAGAGTACTGGACATCTTCCATAACTGGTGTCATTTTCATAGCCCTACAAAGGAACTGCCGTGAGTAATATCCTCATTATAAAGTGGGAGCGCAAGGGAAGGTGTGGACTTGAAGCCAAGTCTGTTCATGTCTGACTCTTTTGCCACCATATTCTGCTGCTTTCCCCTGTTACCCATGGCTGACTCAAGCTCTCTCAATGCATCGTGTGATCAAGGGCTGTCTTTATTAGTAAGATAACAAAGCTCCGAAGCTGTTGTGCCTCTTGCTGCTACTCAAGTGGACTTTATGGGAATAGGTCCGCAGCAGTTGTATCGACACATATGCGTTTGCCCAGCAACCTCAGCAGAGGATTTGGGCATTTTGCTGTGTGATGCAGAACCACAGGATGAGAAAGATCCA